CAAATACTTAAATATTACAAATCACTAAAAAAAATAAAAACTACCCAAAATCCCACGAAATTACTAAAAATACATAAAAATAATAATAAAAAACATTAATAAAAACATAACAAAAATAACACTAACAACTCCCCCACACTTAATTCTTTGTTCGTCCCGAACAAAGATAAAAACTTAAACAAAAAAATTCAAACATTTTTTTTTCATTTTTTTTTCTTCTTTTTTTTAATATATATTTTTTTTTCTTTTCTTCTTTTTTTTTTAAATTTTTTATATATTTTTTTTTATAACACACAATAACAATAAAAACCAAAATAACGTCGTCCACGCTTAAAATAAACAATGTCCCCATTGTTTAAGGAAAAATAAAAAAAATATCAGAAATAAAAGAAAGAAAAATAAAAACTTACTAACACAATGAAAAAAAATCATTGTGCGTCTGAAGATGGTGGTGGTGGCAGTGGCAGATAATCACTCTTCGAATTCCAGCTAGTGTCCCACTGATTGTAATGATCTTCAGAAGTGATCCACTGTTGAGTATATTTTTGGGCATGTGGTAACCGAGCTACCCGACTCGGGTCGTTCTCAAAGGAAGGCTATTCGGAGCTTCGTTCACTACCTAGTCGTCTAAATCACACAAGCAAAAAGGTCCTAAACATTCTACTCGCAAATTGGGGGTTTGAATTAAACACTACTCGCAATTGGAAATCGAAAGCAAGTGAAAACTTAAAAACAAAGATGAGAGCTTCAGGTCAACCGGGGTCTCTATCACTCGAACCAACACACAAAGAACCAAGGGACATCAACATTGCCAAGTGATCCTAGGTCATTAAATCGAGCTTTCTACTAAATGACTACACTTTTAAACAAAGTCGCAATCTTTAAACAAGATAAGCACAAACTAATCCCTAACACACATCGACGAGCTACAAGATTCGAACATTCCTCCGATCAACAAGCAAAACCACAATCACCTTGAAACACATCATAAGCAAAAGAGGGCAAATACGAAGTAATGAGGATTAAAGCTAATTACCCACTCTCCTAATGCATGCGTGAAGAACACCGGATGGAAAAGTTCGAAACTTGAAATAAAATGAGGTCGCCGGAAACTTGCCGGAAAATATGAGTAATAGAGCTCCTAACCCAAGCATAAA